GAAGGTGATATTTAAATGAAAAAAAGGGGCGAGTAAGAAAGGAGGAAAAAGAATCATAGATAAATAAATCAAAAGAGAAATTATATACCTAGTGGTTGTTGCTAGATTCTTAATGACAAAGGAACCAACATCTAAAAGGGGTTAAAACAAAAGTAAAATAAGTGCTATTGAATAGAGATTTTTGTAGCAGAGGCTCTTGAACAAGAGAAACCCTTGCACATTAACGACGAGCTTCCAGGAGAGTTTTATAGATTATAGGAAAAACTGATATATATATATATATGTATATATATCTAAAAAAAATTTGAATGACGGTGAGAGAAAGTTTTTTCCTCCAAAGTTGTTAATCCCTTATTCTATTCATCTTCTTTTTTTTGAAAATTTTCAAAATTCTTATTTTTTTGCAAAATTTTCCTGAAAAAGCAACAATTGGGTTATATTCATAAAACCTAAAAATTGATAGGTTGAAGTTATAAGTGAAATGAAATATGTTAATTAGAACATTATCTAGAATTATTATACATCATATATGCATGTTACAACTCTAATACACTTAATGTGTAACAAATCTATTGAATATGGTATGGTGGGTAACAACAGGTTTTTGTACATATTTGTATATAACAACATTTTTTTTTTCAAAATAGGGTATAGCAAAATTTTTTTGAACATGACGTATAATAATAATATTTTTTAAACATGTCGTGTAACTTGCTTCTTTCTATTTAACTAGAATATAAACTCTTAGAGTTAAACACCTTAAATATGACATGTAATAACTTTTTTTTTTCAACATGGCATGTTATAACATTTTTTTCAATATGGCATGTAATAACCATATTTTTTAAATATGTTATGTAACTTAGTCTCTATCTTTATATTTCATTAGGACATACACTCTTGGATTTAAACATTTTTATGATAGAGATAAAGTTTAAAATCAAAAAGGAATTTGATATGGAAAGAAAGAAGCATTGAAAAGTTATTTTACTCTTGGAATGAAATAGATTTGGATAAAAAGATATTATTCAAAATTTCTAAATTTGAATAATTAACTTTTAGGGTTATTTTATTTATTATATTTCTTGTAATCATAAAAAAAGATAAAATTATAAAAAATAGTCAACCTCATAAGGCCATTTCAAAAATAGCCCTTAATATAAAGTTAACTGTTTTTACCCAATTTTTACCATGAGTTGATAAAAATGCCTTTGAAGCCACTTTAAATAAATTAAACCATTTATCACAATTTCTTTTGATTCCTTTCTTCGGCATTCGTCTGCTATGCTCCCAAATTCTCTCTCTCATCATCCAACTCTCTCTAATTTTATCAATTTCGCTCACCTACATCCATTTGTTATGCTCTCAATTTCTCTCTCACCATCCAACTTTTTCTAATTTACCACCATTGCCATATTTCTCTGTCTATTTCTCACTATATCATCATCGATTTACAGATTAAAGAGTAAGGATGACATTAATGTATGTTCTTGGATTTATTGATTTACATTCATAGAACTTTAAAGTTGATGGATTAAAGTTATATAAGTGAAATCTATAGATTAAAACACTATCCAGAATTGTTACATGTCATACTTGCATATAGTAACTCTAATGTACTTAGCATGTAATAAATCTATTGAATATAACATAGTTTAAACATGGCATGTAACTTGACCTTTATTTTTTTATTTCATTATAACATAAACTCTTGGAGTTAAACACCTTAAACATGATGTATAATAATTTTATTTTTAACGCGACGTGTAATAATTTTTTTTTTCAACATGGCATGTGACTTGATCTTTATCTTTGTATTTCACTAAGATATAAACTGTTAGAGTTAAATATCTTAAACATAGCATATAATAACTTTTTTTTTCAATATGGCTTGTAACAACTTTTATTTTCAACATGGCATATAACTTGATCTTTGTATTTATTTTTCACTAAGAGAAAAAATCTTGGAGTTAAACACTTAAATATGATGTGTAATAACTTTTTTTTTCTTCAAAATGACGTGTAATAATTTTTTTTTAAACATGGCATGTAACTTGGTCTCTATCTTTGTATTTCTCTAAGACTTATACTCTTAGAATTAAACAACTTAAACATGGTGTGTAACAACATTTTTTTTAACATGGTGTGCAATAATATTTTTTAAACACGGCATATAACAATAAGCATGACGTGTACCTTGATCTCTATCTTTGTATTTCATTAGGATATAAACTTTTATAGTTAAATACCTCAAATATGATGTGTAATAATTATTTTTCAACATGATGTGTAATAACATTTTTTTAGGTGTTCTAAGTTAGTCCTTTCATCGAAACTCTTACAGCAATTGTATACCACCAGTACATTGTTAGGGCTGCCGCTATCAAGGTTTTGGGATCCTTTCGTAGCAATGCCACCAACTAAAGGAAAAAAAAATAAAAGACTCATCGAAAACCAAAATTGCTTTGTCTCCACTTCTTTTTTTCATTTTCTCCATTTGTTCATTTATGTGTATGAGAGGATGATTATGACGATGACCTTTCTTTTTTCCTTTTTATTTTCCTTTGTTTATAATTTAAATATTTTTTTATTAGCTTTTGCACCTTTGTATCATTGTTCTTGAGCAGTGGTGGTGTTGATTTGTTCTTTTTTAAAAAACAAACATTTTTTTTAACACATGTGCTTGAATATGAGGAGGTTTCATTAAGAGCAATTTTATTCAAAAATATTTTCTCTTGGCTAAAAATAATTAAAATTAAAAAGAAAGTTATTTTCAAAAACACTTAATGTTTGAAGACTACAAAAAATCATCTCTTAAAAAATGGTGTGTAACAATATTTTTTTTCAACACGTGCACTTAATATGTGAAGAGATTTCATTAAGGGTAATTTTATCAAAAAACAATTCAAATTAAAAAGAATGTTATTTTCGAAACCACCTTATTTTTTAGGGTAAAAAAAAATTGTCCCCAAATATTGATATTTTTATGATGATTTAAGATTTATTGATGTTAAATTTTATTATATTTGATAAATATTATGATATTTATAAATTTTTATTATAAATTTGACTGATAGAATTATGTATCAATTGCACATAATTTAATCACTTTAATTGTGTTAATTGTGTAAACATTTTATAAATCATTTAAATTTTAATCATGTTAATCTTATCGTGTCGTATAAAATTTAGCCAAACATATTTAATAAACGTGTTAGCTGTGTCATATCGTGTTACATAATAATTAAATGTATTTATACACGTGTTTAAGATTTTGACACGATTAATTAATCATGTCATATTCGTCTTTACTTATATATCTATTAATACCTTAGATTTACATAACACAGTTAAAACACAAAAATATGAATTGTCATATTTACATGTGACGAATGAGCTAATATGGATACACATGCATCGTGGTTAAGGTTAGTTGAACTGAAAAAGTCACATAAGACAACTTTTAATTTCTAACGGTTAAATGACCAAAATAATAATTTTTATAAACATTGAGGATCAAAATATAAAATTTTAAAATTGATGGAGCAAAACAAAGATTTATGAAAAGCTAAGCGAGTAAATGGTTAGGCTTCCAAGTTTAGTAAGAGTCTATGCGCAAATTGAGAACAATATAGATAGGAATTAGCATAGAGAAAACGGGTTTGTGTTTTTAAGTGTGTATTAATGACAAAATTTAATTAGGGAGAGGGCATATACAACTTAAGGCTTGTAGTTTAATAGGTTTAGAGTACATTAATTGCCCTTATTCGTGTTGAAGTAATAGGGGCAACGAATGGTTAAAATTAATGGCGCACATATATAGGTGTTATGTTCACCTTGCAAGGCAGTACACGGTACCATATAGGTAGAACTATTTAGCAAAATAAACTTACTATAGATGTGATCCAAAATCCTCTTGTGTTGCCTTTGCAGAGGAATTTTATCTAGAAACATTAAGGCAACCTTATAGTTAATATACACCTACACATGTTGAAATTGTAATAACCTAAAACGGTCTTTCGCACAATTCTCTAGCAAGCCTAGTAATTCATCAAGGCATAATATCTAAAAAAAAAATCTAGATTATTCAGGAAAATTTAAATAAATTCTTTATTTTGTTATTGTGATCAATTAAACCATTATATTTTATTTTGAGTCAAATGAGCTGTTATTAGTCACAAAATGTCATTTGTTATTTTATATGATACGACATTGATGTAACATACTGATATGTTATAATAAATGATGATATGACATGATAATGTGAGATATTCATTTTTTACGTTAACATTTCATAAATATAAAATGAAAAGTGACATATTAATTAATGACAATTAATCAACGGTTAGTTATAAAGATCTATTTAGTTCGAAATAAATGGAAATGGGTTTTATTGAATGGAATAGAACAATAAGAGTTTATTTGAAATTTTTGAATAATTCAAAGCCTTTTTCAAGTATTATGTGGTTCATCAATCACGTAAATGCATTTATGTTTTAATCTTATTACTCCAAATACAGCTAAAGTGAATTGAAATGTTGTCTTGTACTCCGCACCAAAACAAAAAGGCTCTACGCGTTTCATAAAGCTCAAGTCGTTTAAAAAAGAATAAAGGTGACAGTATGAATACAGCAAAGAGAAATTAGATTGATTACGAGGTAGAAAACGAAACAAGGGAATAAGTAAAGGGTGATCCTTCAGCCTATAATCTGTAGGCAGGGAGGCTAAATTCATAATTTAAAGTCTTAATTGCGATTAAAACAGCTCAAAGTTAGGTACGGACAAGAGAGAAAGAGGGCTCAAGCCGGTTAAGGCGGCAAAATTACAATTTTTTCTTTGTAGCCGGCTATTTGTAATTTTGCCACCGCACAACCTTCCAAGCCCATATTTCTTTTTTAACTCTCCTCTCATCACCCCTTTATAACCCTCTTCATTGGAGGACTCAGTCATATCGTTCCGAATTCTTTGTTGTTTTTTAGTCACTTTTCACTCATCTTCTTTCTTTCCTTGACGTACGTAGCTGGGAATTGATCATCAGGTTTCATGGGGAAACTATCACTGCAGAACCAGAAAAACAATGCTCAAAATAATAACTTTAGTAATACTACAAGTAATGGTGTTACCAAGGTGAAGAGAACTAGGAGAAGTGTTCCAAGAGACTCACCTCCTCAGCGTAGCTCGATTTATCGAGGGGTCACTAGGCAAGTCTTTTTGGTTATTACTTGCTAGCTACTACTTGTTTATCTTGATTTCGGTTACCTCACATGCATGTTAATTTATGTGACTGTTCCAGGCATAGGTGGACAGGTCGATATGAAGCTCATCTATGGGACAAGAATTGCTGGAATGAATCACAAAACAAGAAAGGACGCCAAGGTTCATTACCTTTTTCCCCTTATTGATCTTGTTCATATTTCTCAATGGAATTATATACGGAGCAGAGTTTATTGATTTATTTTTCTGCTCCTTTATGGTGCCGCTGCTGCTGTATACTCAAATGCAGTCTACCTTGGTATGTTCACTACTACCTTGTGAGTGAAAACTTTTAATGCTGTTTTTTTTTTTTTCAACCTCACACAATTGGAAATTTTACATATTCCAGGTGCTTATGATGATGAAGAAGCGGCTGCACATGCTTATGATTTAGCAGCACTCAAATACTGGGGTCAAGATACCATCCTTAACTTTCCGGTAATCTTATTTTCTTATTAGCAGTGTCTATTTTCATGTGGTTTTTAAGAAGACTGGGGAAGAAACTTACTATTTTACCATTAACAATACGCAGTTATCAACATACCAGAAGGAATTGAAAGAAATGGAGGATCAGTCTAGGGAAGAGTATATTGGATCATTGAGAAGGTGAGATTGATGACTGATGATGAGAATTTATCAATAACAAGGATTCATGTGAGAAGCAACTATACGTTTATGCATTGAGTTAATTATGTAATTGATCTTGGATGTGCAGGAAATCTAGTGGTTTCTCTCGGGGAGTTTCTAAATACAGAGGTGTTGCTAGGTACTTATTTATAGATTATGTCCTTTCTTCTTCATTTCCGTCCTTTGTGAGTGAAAGCTTCAAATTGTTTGTGTGTACAAAGCTCTTAACAAAGGATTTATCAAAAATTTTAAGGGCATTTTAAAAAATAACTTTTAAAAGATAATATGTTTTTAAAAATAACCTTTTTTATAATTTTAATTATTTTTAATTAAATTAGACAAAATTATCCTTAATGAAATTACACGTCATAATGTTACACATCATGTACAGAAACATATTATACGCCATGGTTAGGTTGTTACATGCCATACATAAAAATGTGTGACACGCCATGATTAGGTTGTTACACGTCATGTACAAAAACATATTACACGTTATAGTTAGACTGTTATACGTCATGTTAAAAAAAATACTATTGTTACGTATCATGTACAAAAACATGTTACACGTCATGGTTAAAAAAGATTGTTACACGTTATGTTGAAAAAAATACTATTATTACACGCCATGTTGAAAAAATATTGTTATTACACGCCATATTCAAAAACATTTTATTACACTTTAATGCTTAAACTGTTGTTGTTACTTACAAACCAAAATTTTAAATCCTCTCAACTCTTTTTATTTTTTTTTATTTTTTTGATAATTTGACACTGATTAAAGTGTTTCTAACATATTTTTATAAATCAAAACACAATTTTTCTTATCTAAAACACCTATTTTGATTAAAAATTGAAAAAAAAAATTCATTAAAAACCTAAGTTTATAAATTTTAAAATTTTGAATTTATTGGTGTCTAGATCCCGAATTGATCCAATTAAAAGCTATTTTAAACATCTGTCATCATTTCTACTATTTAGTTTTATCCAAAATACCTAAAAATCAAATTCTTCAAATAGCCATCTACTCAAACACATCAAAATCATCGTTTGGTGTCTTCAAAGTGCTAGAAAGAGAAATCTGAAAATGCGAGATAGAGAAATCGGGAGCATAGTAAAAAAATCCTGAAGAAAGAAATCGATAAAATTGGAGAAAGTGGGATGCTCAGAGAGAAAAATCGAAAGCACAAATGAAAAGAAATTGTGATAAATGGTTTAATTTATTTAAAATAGTTTCCAAAGTATTTTTGTAAGTCATGGCTAAATATAATTAAAACTAATTAAATTTATTTTAATGGTTATTTTTAAAATGCCCTTATCAAAAAAGGTTATTCTTCATAATTTTTTCAAAATTTTATATTTAGGCAGATCTATAGGGCTATAAATACTCCTGCATCAACAAAATTGCTGTAGCTAGTGAATAATATGTATACAAATATGTATATGTACATATACATACATGAACTTTTGCAGCATCTTAGTTATCTTTCTGATGATCTACATCTCAAATGCAACATTCATTTGTTACAGACTTTGTAGTATTTACTTGTTTAATTTTTAATGTCGACGGACAGACATCATCACAATGGGAGATGGGAGGCTCGCATTGGCAGAGTCTTTGGCAACAAGTACCTCTATCTTGGTACATATGGTATTTGCCACTCCCTTTTTTTTTTCTTCTTTGTCTTTTCCTTTTACTGTTTCCAAATCCAAAACAAGCTAGAATCGCCAAATGTGTATGTGAGAAGGAAAACCCCCAGAAGAAAACCAAAGAGAAAGAAGCTACGAAAGCTTAGACTTGTCTGTGACTACAAAATATAGGGGTACTATTTCTGTGCCATAGGGATTAAATAAGAGTTGTTTTTCGTGTTCTTGTTAGCCATTACTTTCAGAGTTTGTGACGTTTATTAAATGGACATTCACCTGTAGACATATTTAATGTCCTGACTCATTATTGCTACCCAGTAGTAAAGGCTAGCTCACTTTTTAGATTCATTAATTGATTAAAATATTCCAAAATCTAGATTGAAAAGTACAAGTGAGTTGATCAGAATTAATCTTCGAGGTTGTCAAACAAACACTAGAATCTTATGGAGTCTTAATCATATATAAACTCACAATGGAAAGAGGGCAAGCATATCTTACAGTTACATGTTTGTTACTTTTTCTTATAATTTCTTTGGAAGTTGGGGCAACCCCAAAATCAACCAGATAATTAGCATACACTTATTGAGAAGGATTGCATCAGCTAACTTAGTAGGATCTGTTCCACTGACCTTAACATATGTTTCATATCTAAATACAAGTGAAGGGAATTTCAACCTCTCCCCACCAAATTTTATTCTGAAAGGAATCACTTTCAGGCTATTCTCACAACAAAATCTTCCCCTGATCTGTTCAGTGACTTTTTTCAGCTACACAGGAAGAAGCTGCCACAGCATACGATATGGCTGCGATAGAGTACCGGGGATTAAATGCAGTGACAAACTTTGATTTAAGCCGTTACATCAAATGGCTTAAGCCTAATCAGACCAACACCGAAAGTAACCCTAGCCCTAAGATAGAATCTACTTCAACAGTAACAACAAGCTCTACTCAAGAACTTAACCTAAACTTCTTCAACAACAACCAGTTGCAAGCCTCCAACCCTAGTGATCAATCTTTGCCGACTCAGCCACGGCCTACGAATGCCACTTCAGCCCTGGGGCTTCTTCTTCAATCTTCAAAATTCAAGGAGATGATGGAGATGACTTCGACTGCTGATCACTGCCAATTGACACCAGTGGTATCTGAACCAGTGCAATGCAGCTTCCCTGAAGACATACAAACCTACTTCGGCTGTCAAGATTCGAGCAGTTATGGAGATGCTGATGATATTATTTTTGGTGAGCTTAACTCCTTCATGCCGCCAATGTTTCAATGCGACTTTGATGCCTAGAGGAAGCTAAATTTAGTGATTATATATATATATATATATATATGCATCGAGGATGACTTGTCCCTAACTTTTCTTATTTATCACTTATATATATACCAATAAAGATGTGTAGGTGCTTTGTGAATACAAGAGCCCTATCTAGGATCAGATTTGGCTGAAGTGGAAAGAGTGGTAGGAGTTTAGATTTGACTTAGCCTAGAAATTAAACATTACATAAAGGGAGAAAAGGCTAAGAAGGAAAAGAATATGCAGTTAGATGAGAAGAAAATACGTAGCTTCTTCATTGCAGGGTATCATGAAGTGACAAAAGATGGCAGCCGATCAATATATTCGGTTCATTTCTTGTAGATTAGAGAAGAAAATAAGCATTTGTATTTATGATAAATTTTTTTTTGTATGAATAAGAAATCAATACTCGATCATCAGCAGCTAAATATCTGATCCCTTCCATTGTTTATTTGCCTGCTATTTGATAAGCACATCATCTTGTAAAGAGAAATGTTTAGTGCATTAAGTATTGTAAAGTTTAATCTAAGGTCACAATCATCCGTCAAATCAATAAGTTCCCGCAAGTATATTAAGCCACACGTATGATAAGCAGTTATAGAGTTGAATATATATATATATATATATATATATAGGTAAGTAGGTAGGAAGGTTTACTTAGGTGTCACATATATATATATATATTCATTACATTATAAATACGAAAATTAATGGTAATTATTTTGTTGACATGTAATTACTGAATTGACATAATTATTTAAATGGATATGTAATAATCATATAAACTTATTTGTAAAGTAAGTGTATAAAATAATAATTTTGAAGATAATTAAGTATGTTAAAAGGTTACAAAGAAACTTGGGAGCTAGGTATAATAAATAAAGTTATGAAGTTTTAATCGGGAGCCATGTACAGCAGATACAACCTTCCCAAAGTGTATATTATTATGATTAAAATATTGCTATCAATGGCCCAACATTTACTTCCCAAAGTGTAGATTGGGTGAGGCCCCGGCAGAGCCTCTTGGGTCGGCCCATGAATTCTTGTACGAGGGATAGGTCCAAATAGAAGTTAGAGAATCCACGTCTCCATTTTGATCCACCAACGGCTACCCCAAAAGTTTTCGAATTTTTCAGTCCCCACAGTTCTCATTTTCACTCATTTAAAGCGCCAAGGCCACCCCACCCAAACCCCCAAAACGGAACGGCTCAGTACCTACCGTATGGCAGTCTTGTAAATTCACAACTGTCCCTTCACACTTCCAACAATTTTCTTTCCCATTAAATTTTCCCACCCATTCTCAAATTTTCAGTTTTCCCGCCCAAAGAGTAATTCCCCCCTTCCCCCTCTCCTTCTCCCCCTCCTCCCTCATAAAAATCTAGGGTTTTCGTTTTCTTCCAATTGTTTGAACCTTTAAACCTTTTTTTTAAAGAAAAATCTTTTTTTTTCTGAAATGCCAGACCTTGGAAATCTTTCTAACTCTTCTTCTCTATCTCTCTCTCGTTGCCCTCACTTGAAACTTCTCCCCATTGACTCTGCCGATACCGCCGATGCTTTTGACCCTGGCGCTGTCAAAACCCTAGCCTTAAACTGCGGTTGGGCCCAGGGATTGGTCCGCAAAGGCGCTGACAGCAATGGGAATGGAATTAGGGGTTTGAAGCGAGTGAAGAAGGGGTCCAATGGTAAGGTTTTGGGGGATTATTTGAGGGATTGGGTTCAGAGTAAGATGGAATCTGGTATTCCTGAGTCCCGGTGTGTTCTTCCATTTCTCGTTGGGGCTAAGAAATCGGTACTTCTTTCTTCTTCTTCTTGTTTGTGAATTGTTTTGCTGTTTGGTTGTGGAAAGTGTGCGTGAAATTAATGGGTATTTAAGTTTAAACTGTGGATTCATTATTTGTTGAATTATTGTTTGGTTTATTGAAAATGGTGGAAAAAGGGTAAGTAGTAAATGTTAAAATTTGTAAAAGGTGGAGTTGTGGAAAGGTATATGACACAATTCAAGTTTAAGAAATTGAGCTTTTCCTGGGAATGTGCCTTCTCATTTCGTCTGGTGTCTTCCCATTTACGGAATGTGATGGCGGCGAAGGTGATTGTTGGTATTAAATTGTTGGGAAAATAACATTGCCATGTTTGGTATACATGGGAAATGCTGATTAAATTCTTGAGAAAGCTACATTGATATGTTTGGTTATTCAAGCATTTTACCGGGAAAGTAATGTTAATTTTCAAAATTTGTCTTGTCAATTAAAATGCAAATTTACTACTTTTTAATATTAGAACCATAACGGATTAACTTTAGTACTAAACATGAATCATTAGTATAGATCCATGCTAAATAGAAATTAAATTAGAAAAGACATTTTTATAAGTTCAAATTAAAATAGACAAGGAAAATATTATTTCCACATTTAAAAAATGAAAAACTTATTTTCATTCATGCTCAGAATTGCATAAAAAACAATTAAAAGCAAGTCCTTATAAATTGATCTTTAACAAACAATCATAAAACAGTATAAAAGAAGAAGAAACATGAATGATTGAAGGAAATTTAATCAATTGCCTATAAAGATTGAAGGAGATTGAAAAAGATGAAATTGTGAAAAAAGGTATATGACACATTAAAGTTAAAGAGCTTTTCTTGGATTTCACTTTTTTTGCTTGGAGAAATTAACACTACATTCTTAGTAAAGTGCTTGGATAACAAATATCCAATGTGACTTTTCCAGGATTTAATTAGCACTCTTCTATATATACCAAATGTTGCAATGTTATTTCCTTGCAATTTAATACCCAACAATCACCTTCCCAACAATTACATTCCATTGGAATCAAGAAATGGGAAGGCACCTTGTAATTTCTGAGATTGGCAGCATTGGATGCTAATTTTGTGTCAATTGCATCCTTGCTCTTGGCCAAGAAATTGTTCTAATAGAGGTCCTTTAGGCATATGGTGAGACAGTGTGGCAAACAAGTGATTAAGAATAATGTGGATGTGGTAAGGTATAGGAACTAAGGAAGGGAAGGGAGATTGAAAGTAGAAAGAGTGATGCTAGAGTTGGAACTAGGAACTGAAATGAGAGAAGACATTGGGATGGATAAGTGAGATGCGGAGAGATCTGTATAGAAATCTTTTCTTTCACCAAATGAGACCCATGTATCTTCTACATGTTAGGAAATGCACTTAATGAAACCAGTAAGAAAGTAGGTGCTAGTTCATTTTTTATTAAAGATAATCATGCTAAATATTAGGGCAATTGACTATTATTGTGAAGGTTGGGGAAGAAAGTTGAAATAGTGTAATGTTTGGACTATGGCATATGGGAGGCACTCATGTATTCTCCTGAAAAGTTAAGGTTGTGACCCTTAACTATCCTCATATTTGAGTCACCAAGTCAAGCTTCTACAACATTTCAAGAGAAATAGTTAAGCCAAGGATCTTTCCATTTGTCTTGGGGATGAATCCTTGCATGTTTATTTTTTAATGCAATTTTGTTGATGTTACATGCAACACATGATTGCAAATGAGGTAAATTTTGTACATTTACAATTAACCAAAAACATTTATCTTCAATTACAAAAAATGTAGTGTATGATATTATAATTGCAAATTCCTATATGAAATCTTTTCATTAGATATTGCAGTATTTTAAGCATCTTAACTTAACAATGTGTTTCGCCCCCATTTCCATGAAGAACAAAGGTGCTTTATGTGTTTTATTATTTACTGTCTTGGTGTTAGGAACTTCTCTAGATAGCAGCCAATACTTTTGCAGGATTCCTTTTCTTTCAGTGGATGGAGAGGGTTAAAATTGTGTAAATAAGTTTGTCTATAGAGTTCTTGAGAGATTAGAAATTCTTTTGTAGTTTCCAGATGATAACTGAATGGGGATTCAGCATGCAAAAAATTTACTGTTAAAGCTTCATTACAAACTCCTTAATATTTGTTGGTGGCTTCTTGCTGGTGAAGAGGGTCTTGATGGTCCATGGTTGCTTTCTTTGGAAAAACATGTTTTAGAGATGTACAATCGATGGCAAACTAGCTTAGCAGAAACTAAATTATGCAATGTAGGTGTTGTAGCCATCTTCTTTTGCTACTCAGTTTTTTGTTTAGTTTGGGTTCTTGGGTTTTCTGTCAAGGGAAATTTCCTTTCTTCCAGGCAAAATGGGTATCTGTTCAACTTAAGGTGGTAAGATTGCTGCAACATTACTCCACATTTTGTGCCTCAGTCCATTTGGATCTCAGATTGAGTGCTGCAAGTAGTTTTCATTATTTATGAATTTTAATCCTTGAAGTTTATGAGTTTTTAAGCCTTCGACATTATGCAATGTACCTGGAGTTTTTGTGGTTAAGTACTACTTCCCTTCTCACTATAATTTTTCTGTCATGAGGGTGCTAACATTCTCGTCCTTCCAATTTTTTGTTTGTAGCTAGCTTCTCTGTTCCTTGTTCAGTAGAGCTTACTTATCAGATAAATAGAAGAAATGTACTGCATATATTTCTGAAGTTGAGTTTATTGCCTGACACATAGCTAACAGTGGTATTAGCAGACTATATACCTGCCTAGGATGTTCATTTGGTGAATGGTTTGCTGAATTTATTGTGTTTTTATGTATAGGTTTAGGGTTCAGCATTTTGTATGTTCAGCATTTTGAAACTTGAATATGTTATGTACAGCTAGAGTTCACTGCCTTTTTGTTTCTATACTCTGTATTAACATTTTGGTGAAGATTGAGTTTCTCAATGTAAATATAATATCCTTTGATTGTACTAAGCTGGTTGATATTTGACTGTTTGTTTATAGTGCTCAGTTCTTTTTTCTTTCTTTTCATTCTGAAAATTCATCTCAGGTTGAATGTCTCCATTGCTATAAGCTCATCTATCCAGGGGAGGAGGTATTATGCTCGGTTCGTGGTTGTCAAGGAGTTTATCACAAAAAATGTGCCAAAGAAAGTTTTAGGATGTCTAATCCCAAAAAGTTCCAGTGTCCACAGCATGTAATACCTGCATCAGCTAATTTATTGTTTACTTTCAAAGACTTTTACATCCTTGTTCTGTTTCTTGGCTTCTAACTAGCAAAATGTACCCGGTCATTTACAGAGTAGAGAAGGGAAAAGGGGAGAGGGACAGATATTCATACTCTATATTTATATAAATGTATGTATGTATTTATGTGTCTATGTGTGTATGTATGTATGCATGCATGCATGTATAGTTTTCTTGTTTGAACAGGAAGTGCAAGTCCAAC